TAGTGTTAATTTTATTAGGTTAGCAACTTGCGGCCATGCTGACGCAATGCCGTCTCTAAAAGAACAGCCTCGGGCGAGATTTATGACGTCACGCTAGTTAGGTACTACGGATTAATAAATATGTTGTAGAATACATGGAAAACATAATTATCTCTCGTATTTTTGGTTTGTATTTTAAAAATGATATAGTTTACATGAAATATACATATACAGTTAATAAATACATATATACCTATTTATATATATATATATATATATATATATATATATATATATATATATATATATATATATATATATATATATATATATATATATATATATATATATATATATATATATATATATACATATATACCTATTTATAGAAATAAATACTTAGGCAAATACATTATGAACCATACAAATGCAGCAAATGTTTTACAATGTGGCTGAAATCGTACTTCATAGTCAATGTAGATAGTTTTAGTGTTAAGAATAATAATTTTAAAAAATATGTGGTCATCTTTTAACACGTTTATATTAGTTTATTAATTGCAGTAAACATTATGTGCTGTGTGGTGTGAATATTTTATATGTAATTTTTTGGATTATATTCGACACTATTTTTATCATATGACACAACACTGATGAATTGACACAACACTGATGAATTGACACAACACTGATGAATATAATGTTAGCCGAAACGTTTTTTTAAGCCAAATAAAAATAATGAAAACCGAAATGAAAACTTAATCAGCGTTTTTTCCAAATCTAAATCCCAAGAAAATCAAAAATTTTAGAATAATTTTTTTTATATATAAAATGACAGCGATCTTTATTTCATAGCCATCGCTGGCGCCTTTTTTTCTACGATATTGTATTATTTGCAAATATAATTTTTCGAACATTGATACTTGCAAAACATACATATAAATTTTGTGAATGCAAATAATAATACATCACTATTAGTAGATTAGTAGATATTGAATGTTTTTTGTTAAATTAGGTCGATTTTCAAACCCCAAAATTTAAAATATATTTTACATTTTACCCATTATCTTATGTACCTATTCATTATTTGTATATTGTAAAACGTTTGCTGCATTTGTATGGTTAATAGTTTATTTGCCAAAGTATGTATTACTATAAATCGGTATATATAAATATTGTATTTATTAACTGTATCTAACTAGCGTGACTTCATAAATCTCGCTCCGAGGCTGTTCTATTAGAGACGGCATTGCTGTGATATTTAGAAATGTCAAAAGCTGTTGACATTTTACTTTTGATAATTATGACATTTCGTGTTAATTTTTGCAAGAAGAGGAAAAACTGTCACTTGTTTTATTATTTTCCTTTTCTATCTCACGAAAGTAAAAAGAGTTATCCTATCTGATAGGTAACGTGTTTTTTATATTTGCCGTGTTGGTAAAAAATAACGGTCAAAATTCAAAGTTATTCATTTTATAGACTATATTAACTAATTTTTTATAGACATCGTAAGTAAAACTGTCATATTATAAATAATAGTTGATTTAAATAAATCAAAACACAGACTGTACAAATGTCACAAACTCTGAGACTATTTTAATGTACTTGCTTTTGTTTAATTATTTCTTGTATGCTGTGTGTTTTCATAAAACTTCTTTGTACAGGGTGTCCCATTTTTTGTACAGTTTTTCTCGCTTATGAGTAGAGGTCCGAAGATGCGGTTTTCACATTATTACTGAGCTACTTTTTTATGAAACTAAAGATTCTCCTCCTTACTCTAGGAACTAAGAAGGCTAGGGCAAATCTGTGAGTAACATCTTGAGTTTCATAAAAAAGTAACACAGTGATGTGAAAACCGCATCTTTGTATCTCTACTAATCAACGAGAAATCCCATGGTAATGGGACACCCTGTACAATTGTGATTTTAGTCATAATAATAGACTAGGTAAATTATTTCGTTTGTGTTCCGAAGAAGAAAAAAAAACGTTCACTGATTTGATTCAGAGCGTCTAAAATTCTTTTACTCTAAGAATTTCTCTCTATTAGTAATGACGTCACATATTGTTCAGCTAACAATACATTGATTTTTATTGGCTTTTCATCTTAGTTTATACTTTTAATTTCAACCCTTGGCATAACTGATATAGGATTGAAAATAAAATGGCCATATCTAGCATTTTATCTGTCAGGGTCGAAATTTAAAATTAACAATATCAATTTATAAATCGCAGAAAAAAAACATATTTTTACATTCCATAGTGATGGAATTGATTTGATATCCTCTATTTATTCTTATTTATAGCATTTGCCGTCGCACTCTCTCGACAGATGTTTAATCTCTTTATACTAGCCTTATAGGCGTATTACCTATCTGTAATTAACATTTGTTTATTGATTTCGAACATGCTCTAGGTCCAATATGCTTTAATATCCAATAGCATTCAACATTTCCACAATTTCCAGAGAGGGACATAAAATTATATGTAGCACTGGCCAATAGGAAATCGTTATGCGCCTGGCTATCGCCTGGCAACGTTGAATCCGGGACGCCATGATGCATTTTGACAGCGTTGCCGGCTTGTATGCTTCTTTATGATATCTTTCAGAAATATTTACCTCTTATAACAGGCAGAACGAATGAATGAAAAAATAAATTATTATTCACGTATCTTAAATGTTTCTCCTCAAAGTACAATAAACAAATAAATTGCAGCGTTTTGAGATGAAAAATATGGTATATGAAGAATATAGCCTTTAAATATAGAATACATAAAGGCTATTCTCTGGCGGTTTTTGAATAAATTACCTTTAGGTCGTGACGTATTGTTGGTTGAATATTCAGTGACGTCACACTAATCTAATAATTTATTTAAATTGTTTAAATAACTTTATCTTATTTTTAACATATTTCATCTATTTAGATTTTGCATGTTTCAAGTTATTATATTTAATATTAAATTAATTTAATAGTGTTTAGTACCAATAATTTCGTCTTCATTCAATTACTTACATTAGGGATATCTAACAAAGTTTTTTTTATCCATATTTTTGACATCCATCGTAAATTAAAATATTATTACAAGGGCGATCTGAAAAGTTTTCAGGCAAAGCATCTTTAGAATTTTGATATTTATGTATGTCGGAATGAATTAAAAATATATTAAATTTATAGGTAATATCTAGCAAATTTTGCTTTTGTGTTGTTAAACGAGATTTTTTTTGTCTGCATTCCTTTCGCTGTTGATAGTTAATAACATTTCAAACCTTCCTTGTATGTATGTTACTGGCAAAGTATTAAATTAAGGCATTCTGTATAAAACTTAGGTATTAATAATGTACATAAGCTAATTTCGATTTTGAAAATAGCTACTAATTGTCACTACATAATTGCCATGACGACACTAGCCCTCTTGGTTGCCATTTTATTGAAAAATCGCTCTTTATTCAAAATCTGAGCCAGTCAGGTATAAGAAACCCTAATATAGTTTGAACTGCTTCGATTGATTTTAAAAAATAGAAAGTGTTGCATTTGAAATAACGAAGTTTTTATGTAAAATAAATATTTAAAATAAACCAGCAATTTTTGGCACCCCTGTATACATTTAAGGAAGCAATCAAATTTTTTTATAAAGTTTATTTCTCTGGCTTGAATGTCAGCACAAGAATTAATTCTGAAAAGTAAAATGTACAGGGTGTTGACAAAAATATCTTTAAATATCTCAAAAACCAGAGCGTTTAAACATACTTAACCCTTATAATAAATGCCTTATTTTGTTTCCAAGGATCCAAAAATCGAATAAAATACTGGGTGTTATTATAAGAAAAAAAAATATAGAAGAATATATAAAAAATATTTTGTTTCTAATATAGTATAAGAGAATATATAAAAAATATTTTATTTCTAAGTCTTCCCGTTTTTACATAATTAACCGAGGCGAATGAGGTGTGCCACCCTGTATAATATATTTATTTTATACAATGCCTGATGATAGTTTTAGTAATTTTATATAGTTCTTAGGAATTATATACAATGCCGGAATTAAAACTTTGCCTGTAACATGTATGTATATTTTTTTCGATAAAAACTATTTTTTCATCCACCCTGGTATAATATCCGCGTTAATTCTTTACAGAACGATTTGTCGAGTAGGGATGGGTGCCGCAGCACGATAATCCACGATGAAATTCTCTTGAGAACTCCGGCAGCTACGTCCTCCAGATTAAGAACACCCAAAAGAACGCCGACCAACCTCAGAACACCACTATTACGGATCACCAGCCATAGCCCCTCCAGACAGGATCCCAACACCAAATTGAGCGCCTGCAAGACAAACTTAAAACTTTTATTCTAGAACTAGGTACCTTTATTTTTTTTATTTAATTTTGACATATTTTTAACTATTTTTATATTTTTTAAAACTAACTTATTTTTATAATTGCAATATTAACATTTACTCGTACTCGGCGACTATATTTTTAGTTTTTCCTGTTTATTGTAAAGTATGATGTGTTTATATATTATTGCTTGTTGTTTAAATGTGCAAATTTTATGCTAGTACTTACTATATTCGATATTATTCGCCATCTTCGTAAATATAGTTTTAAGTTAACCAGTATTTTGAAAATCGGTCAACTCTGTAACAGAGTGTTCAGATATTTCTTTTTCTATTTAAATCGGTGGTAGAGATATATTTAGATTAAATCACCATTTTTTCTGTATATACACTGTAATTTACTGCCTTAAATAAATATTTTGCTATATTACTTATTTATTTTATGACACGAGTAAAAACCCATTCCTACTAACCATGATAGTTCTTTTGAACAAATTCCATTCTATCTGGCCCATTCCTATTAAATAGAGTTGACTCCATGACCTAAAGTACCTCCGTTTGGCCGAATAACCCTGGCAGCTCAAGCCATAAAAATTAAAGTACTTCTTAGCAGCCGGATAGCCCTAGAGCTGTGGCCGTTAAACCAAACTACTTCTAAGTACATCTTATCGTCAAGAAGAAGAAAGAAACATAACCCAAATTTTTGAATTCAATTTTTAGCGGTTTTTCTTTTCAATTTTTTGCGTTTAATTTCCAACAGAATGTCTATGAATAAATTTATGCATCCCCGTAATATTTATAAAAGTCCCCCGGACTTCAAAGCCTTGGCAGTTGAATTTTCCGAGTTTAAAAATCACGTGAAGTTAGATATCGCGGGTAAAACAGTTTTTGATTTTAAAGACCCCGAAGCACTTCGAGCCCTTTCACGGGCTCTGTTAAAGAAAGATTTCGATTTGGACGTGGAAATACCGAAAACGAAGCTAATTCCTACCATTCCTTTGAGGCTGAACTATATTTTATGGATTGAGGATTTATTAGAGTTTGTTGAACGTGAAAATGATATTAAAGGTATTGATATTGGTACTGGGGCTTCTTGCGTGTATCCTTTAATGGCTGCGAAGAAGAATAAATGGTTTCTGTTGGCTACAGAGACTGATAAAGACAGTATTGCATGTGCTCGAAGCAATGTAGATAAAAACAATCTTTCTTCTTTTATAAAAGTTTTAGAAACCACAGGAGACACATTGCTTACTGATATAATTAAGGAAGACGAAGAATACGATTTCTGTATGTGCAATCCTCCATTTTTTTCAAGCACACAAGAGTTACATCCTTTTTTTAAATCGAGAACCAGAAATAGACCTCATCCCAAGAACGCTTTTGTTGCCAGCGTTAATGAAGTTGTTGCTAAGGGTGGTGAAGTAGAATTTATACAGAAACTTATTGCTGAAAGCAAAGTATTGGGTGACAGAGTTAAACTCTACACAACTATGGTAGGTCAAAAAAGTGATTTACCTGCATTGAAGAAAAGTTTGCGTGACATAAACATTCATAGCTTTAAAGAAGCCGAATTTTGTCAAGGAAATACCACACGCTGGGGTTTGGCATGGACATTTTTAGACTGTGACCTAAGGAAAGCACCAGATATAGCAAAATTAGCTTCAAAGTCACCGATCAAAAACAAGGCTCCTCTAATTTTTGAACTATCAGATACCGAATCCACACCTGAAAATGTGCTTGAAATGACTAAAAATATGTTGGAATTATTCAAAAAACTTCAAATGACTATTGAGGAAGTGACAAGAAACAAACTTCATCAAAGATTTTTTGTGAGTGCATATTCTAATACTTGGTCGCATCAAAGACGGAAAAGACGACAGAAATTGAGACAGTCAACTGAAGAAAAACTTACTATAAATAATAACAGTGAATGTGAAATTGAAAACACACCAAAATCTCCAGGAAAGAGAACCATAGATGATATTTGTGAATCAACAACTAAAAAATTGAGATTGAGTACCGAAAGTGACTCGAATCAGGAAGCTGTATTTTATAAATTCTTGTTTGCCATAAACTGTGATAAAAATAAGGTGTATATAGAGTTAAATACTTTAGATGAAGAGAGTAACAGAGAATATTTACATCAAATATTACAGTATATTAAGAATAACTTTGATAAAACTGAAGATAATACTTCTAAAAATACAGTATAACTTGATTGAGTATGTTTATATAGTTTATACTGTATAAAAAAGTTTTTTATGATGTAATTGTTCATAGGTTTACATCGAGTTGTACAAAATGAATTGAGTTAAATCAATAACATGTTTAAGTAACCTTTATTTAATGAGAATGTTGTTTATTTTTAGGTATTCTAAACTTTTTAAGAGTTAATATATTTATTTTTTTTTGGAAATAAAGCTCTTTATTTTTAACATTAAACATAATACATAAACATTTGAATTGAAGGGTCCTAAACATTAAGAATATTTGGACTACATAAACCTATATGAAAAAAGATCACTTGAAACAGACTTAAACATAATATAACAGTAATATTCTTCAAAAATAACTAAAATACTTTTATAAAAAAGGGATTCCATTCCTCAAACCCTCTCTACTAGTATTTCTTTTCTTTAATAAAAGTAAATATGTTTTTTTCTCTATACTATCAACATAAGGAATCCCTTTGTGTGATGCTATCAAAAATAAAGACACTTCTTACAAACTAACAGGCCATATCACTGTCTCTATAATATAGTAAACTTCTTGCACAGAATCATAAAAAATTACTTTTTAGCACTGCTCGTACTTGCTGTAGAATCTTCCTCAAAAAGTTTTTGTAAATTCACTCCCTCAAATTTTGAGGGATCGACGTTATTCGAGGCGTGTGCCAAGAACAATTCCTTGAGGAAACTGAGCTCCTTAGTTAAAGTCTTTACTTTTTCCTCTAATACTGAATTCTCGTTGCGAAGCTCATTCACTCTGGACACTGTCTCCATTGTTTTCTGTTTGGATTTGACTCTGCTGCGTTTGACAGCCTAGAAAAGGTAAGTAGTTGGTTGCTATTCGATGTGGGAAGGAATAAAGCAAAGATTTAAACTTACTAAGTTGTTGCGATCACGTCTTTTTCGATATTCGTCTGAATCTTCGCCAGATTCGGGTCCTTCCTTTTTAACACGTCCTCTTCTCGGCATATTTCAATATACGAACAAGCGAAATAATATTGTATATTATAAAGGAAGGGTTTTTCTTCAGTTTTAATGCGATTTAAATCAGAACAAGCTTAAAATTCGCAAACTATCCACATTTTTTTCACAACAAACATGAAAACAGATGAAAACACGTCTTATCTAATGTCACAGTCAATGCCAAATTTGACATTTGTAAAATGGCGCTCTTCAGAAACATTTTAAAATATATTTACGATATTTATCGAATTGAGAAAATATACATCTGAAATAATATTAATTGTATTTTTCCAAACACCAATATACTATTTTCCTGTGAAAATAAAAAGAGAAATATTATTTTACTATATTATATTAGGAATTTCATGGAAATTTGTACTTCAGCGGCATCTCTAATCAATCATTCGAATCATTACCGAAACATTTTTATAATTTATTTAAAATTACGACTTTTTATACATCATTGTAAGGAAAAATTAAAAAGTAAATGATTTGCAATCAAAATTAATTGTTTTTTTTTACTTCAGTAATAATAATATCTTTAATAAAATGTTAAAAATTATTGTGTATGTTTGGTTGTCTACCCTCGTTTTAAATATTTTAAATTTTAATGAAGTATTCTTGGATGTTTACATTCAAAGAATTCTTTATTTATTAATGTAAGCTTGCAGCAAAGTCAAGGATCATTTCAACAAGAATTATCGCACCATTTCTTTGCAAAATATGAGTAATAAAAGCTTCAGTGTTAGTTTAAAAGTCCACACATGCTCGCGCTTTATTTAAAACACTAACAAATCCAAACTCCCTTGTTTATTTTATTATTAAACAAACATCGGTAAATTTTCAGAAGAAAAATCCAAAAACACAACACAGCTGTTTATTTTACTTCTATTTTTTTAAATATCGCTAAATAAACACATCCATCATCATAAACACATTCTTTTTTATCGATTATTTTTATTGAAAAAAATAATTTTGGATTACAAAGAATCAATATCAATATTTATTACATGAAAAATTAAAAATAGAATAGGGAATAGGGTTAATTCACCTCATCATAGATGGCGAGTAAGTCAGGCAACTCTCAGAATCGCTCTGCGCCTGTTGCCAAATTTATTTTTCATAATTTTATCTGTGAAAAATTTGAAATAGTTATTAATCTAGCACTTACAAATTTTTGTGTTGATTATATAATCTGTGTTAAATAAATAATAAATAAACTGGTCTGCAATAAAAATGATGACAGGTTGTTTTTAAATTATTTCAAATTAAATGTTATTAAATGTCAAGTTTATCTGATACTTAAAATCATTTTTAAACGGTTTCATTAAAAATATAGACTATTTATTGCCTAAATAATGATATGTTAATAATTCTATGGCATTACATTTATTATTTTAAAAATAAATAGTATTTTACATTGTAAAATTCTTAAAAAAAAATTAAAATTACTGTATTTTTGTATAGGCGGTACTGATTTTAAATGATTTTTGCTTGAATTATGTCAGAAATTATTGTTTAATAGCCACATTAGTGATAATTGAGATGTCAAAGTGTTAAGCGATGTGTCGATAAAGAATTACGTGCGCCCGACTTGGCAACGGCGCAATTCAGTGACAAAATGGCATTGGGATGTTCGGTTACCGAGTAAATTCGCGCTCCGATTTTCTGATGTTTTGAAACGGAAAATCGCCGTGTTTTTGAATGAAAATGGTGCGTGCCGACGCGTGAATCCCTTCCCGACGTGTCACGCCGCTTGTGCTAGTGTTTTCCACTCATTATCAGTGTCCAATTTGTGAAAATGCGCGTCCGCAACCTGCCACAATAGGTAAGTTGTAAAAGACGAGAACTTTACGGTCACCTTTATGCATTATTTTTATTAGTTGCACCCCCGGGGGGGTTGTTATTGATTTGTCGGAAAACTCAGGGGATGCGGGGGCGAGTTTCGCCCCCTTTAGGGGGTTTGTTTTGTGAGCGCGCTATATGTGGGTACATAAAAGAAAGGTTGGTGTTTTGAATGTACCTAGCTAGGCGGCAGTTTTAGCGGAGCGATGAAAAGGGTCAGGTTTTCCGTGGAAAATTCGCGACGAGAACAAAAGAACGCGATGGGGATCGATGTAAAAAATGAAGCGGTCAAACAAAACGCTCTCACCTATATGTAAATTGTGCCGCAAGTTGCGGTGTTCATTTAGCACAATTTTTTCGTTCTTTGTGTTTTGTTTTTATTCTAATCCCAGATTTGTTATGATTCTTTGACAGCATAATGTGACACAAAATTATTTTACAAGAAACTATATCTATATAGTAGGTAGGTATTTTAAAATAGCAAATACTATTAAAATACAACTTTAGTACTTATTGGAAATGGAATTAATTTATTTTTTTCTATTTCATTGAGATTTCTTAAGGGATTTTGTTACGACAATATTGCTTGTTTTTAATATATTTTTTTGAATAAAAAGTCTAATGTGGGACTGGATACATACAGTATATCCCCGGATTGTTTTTATAAGAGGAACAACTTTTTTATTATTGACATTTTGAAAAAAATGCATTCTTCATAAAAATGTTTGCTTGTTCTAAAATCTTTTAGAGAAAATTAAATAAAAAACATGAAAATATAGTTGAATTTTTTCTGAAGTCTCAAAAATCAAAACGCGTTTCCAGAGATGCAAGCTCATAGAAAGCGTAAGTCTTTTTTTATTTAAATCATTTTAATGACTTAAGTCATTTTTGATTTTAAATTTTTAACAGAAGCATTTCTTTTTGTTAAACTGTTGCGGCAGCCAAGCAGCAGAAGAAAAGAAAACAATGTTCAATATTCAATACCACTAGCAAATAAAATAATAGTTTTTCGGAACCGGTTTTAATTATTTGTCGTGTTACGCGTGCGTAGTGAGTCTGTCTTTCAAGTGAATCCCCGACTACGTTATGTAGCCCGAAAGACGAACAAAAGCAGTTTATCTCGAATATACATATTATTGAGAGATCGGGAAAGTTAGCAACTCATTGAAAGCAGGAATTATAAAATACGATCCTGCTTGGGCTGCTACAATCCTGCTTTATCCTGCTTCAAATCCCAACCCAGCCACACCTGCCAATTTTGAGCTCTAGTTACTTTTATTTTGGTTGCTGACTTCCCAGTTGGCAACACATGAGAAGCAGGATCGCCATATACCGCTGCTATACCCCTGTTGCATTTTGTTCTAAATTTCATCCCAGCAACACTTGCTGTTCTTAAGATACAGCAAGTTTAAGTCTGATTGGTGACGTCACACATAGCAACACAATAAAAGCAGGATAGCTGAGACAAGTTCCTGCCTTTGCTATAATCCTGCCTCATCCTGCTTCAAATCCTATACCAGCCACTCTTGCCGTTTTTGAAATACAGCAAATTTCGTTTTGATTACTGGAAATCGGGAATTGGGGAATTGGAGTTTTCCAATCATGTAACCTGTAAAAGATCAAATATAAAAGGCTTCTAATGATCCCTTTCACAACGAGACTGCCAGTAAATTACGTAAGCATGGGTTCATTGAGGATGTGAATTGGAAAAAAAAACATTAAACAAATATCTATGAACAATGAAATTTTTATAAAACAAAAAACGAAAAAAACCATATACAGGGTTGTTCACCACATACGACACGGAGTATTGTAGTTAAACGATGAGATTTTTACAAATTGTAAGTTTTGGGTTCGATGAAGGACTATTAGAGGTACAATTTAAAAATAATTTTACAAGATACAGAGTGTCCCAAATAAGTAAAAAATAATAACTTAATTATTCTATTCCGGAATACTTTCAGGCGCCGAGCTGGTCCCATCTCATAAGATATTATGGTAGTAGTAGCACTGTCTTCGTCAGTTTCTATTTCCAAATCAGATATATTTGATGTATCATCTGCTTCTGATTCTGAAGGATGGACCTCTACCTCTAGTGGTTCTCAAGGAGTTTTATGTTGTTGACTATCATGCTCCATATCTATCCACTTGTTGCTTTTGTAGTAATAATTTATTGTTATGAGCTACGAACATTATTTTGCCGGCCCTTTGTGCAGTTAAGCGATTCCTTTTTTTAGTATGGATAAAACTGTAAGTACTGAAACTTCTCTCAGTGGCTGCAGATGACGTTGGTAAAGACAGTAGAGCTACAGCTAAATATTTCAACTGAGTATTTTTATACATTGCTTGCCACCAACTTAGACAGTCTACATTTTTAACTGACATCCAAGCGTAGTCGAGAGCCCTTAAACCCGATTTGGCGCAATAATTTGTTACATCTGTAAAATGGCATCTTTATTATTGACAAACTGAGGGATGTTTGCTGGTGATATTGTTGATAAATTCACAGCATGTGTTCTTCCTAAAGGTGCTCCCAGGAAACAGAGGGGTCCAAGAAATTCGCTGCAAAATGCATTGGTTTAAGAGCCATACGTTTTCTATTTTGTAAGGCGGGCATTCATTTTCTTCTGATTTAAGAATAGGCATACTAATACACTTTCATTTAAATTTTTGCTCAATGTCTTGAATTTGTAAGAGAATTTTTGCAAAATTCGGATTTTTGCGAATATTCGCGATTTTGGGACCGAATATTTCGGAAATTTCTGAAATTTCCTGCAAAATTCGAATGGAAATATTCGCTACCAACATCACTAGTCGTGGCACATTTATTCTTAATATATTTTATAAATATTCTTGAATGGTTGATGGTCGCTGGACGGAGAGCTATGTACTTTTTGTAATAATTAAAATATAATGTACCAATAATAACAAATGTTCGTTCCGCATTAGTTTTTGTATCTGGAATATGCACGATTAATGAAGTTCCTACATCCTCGATATTATTTAATGTCAAGTTGCATATAGTGCTTCACGACGCGACGGCACGCTCCAAATATGCCGAAAATTACGGTAACTTTTTTCAATAATTAATAGCCTCTGCAAGAAATTTGTCGATCTTTGCATGCTGAATGTTTGAAGCATAACTTTTTATATATAATATAACATACAAGATCTTTTATTTAGCCGAAAATAAATCAACATTAACTATAAAAAAACACCCAACATACTTATTATTATTCATCACCTTTTAACATCATAAATATGTCTGTGAAACCACCTATATATATTTAATATAATATGAAGTAAGTACCAAGGTACTCTACACTTATTTATACGA